TGGCTGGGGAATTCTGGGAGTTGAAGTCCACACCTCTTCAAGCTGCCAAGGTTGAGAAACATCGCTTTACCACATCCTAGGTTCTTGGAAGAACTCAATGCAAATGAAGGCCAACACCAGCTAAAGAACTGGCAGTGGTGATTTCACGTTGTGTAAAAAAAAATAATAATAATAATAATAATAATAATAATAATAATAATAATAATAATCCCTGCAACCTCTTGAGATCTGGATCAAATTATTGAGACTTTCGCATCAGGGATCATTGACAATAACCTTGTCTATTGCTAGTGATTCCTAGAATTGGGAGCCTTGATGGCTCTGAAGGAAAAGTTAACTTCCTGGGCAGGATCCAGTAAGTTCAAAATTTAATAACCACTTTTTGCTTTGCTTAAGCTGGAAATGGGGAGCCACCATCCCCCAGAAGTTTCCAAACTTCAGTTCCCAGCAGCCCTAATAATCTGCTGAGGGATCCTGGCAATTGCGTTCCTGCACCATCTAGAACAGCGTTTCTCAGTCTCAGCAACTGGAATTCTGGAAGTTGGTCCATATGTCTGAAAGTTACTGAGATTGAGAAATGCTCATCTAGAAGGTCACTGGTTCCACTCTTGGCCTTAACCCCAACATTGCTGAAAATTACTTTACATAGTGGGTCAGTTGGACCAATCCATGACCACTTCATGAAGGTCCTGGGGATCAATGGCTCTTAGCCTTGATGGCATGGGAGTGCCTCTGAAGGCCATCTGCTGGGAGACCAGTGGGCTTCCTTGGGCAGTGGGTGGGCCACTGTGGGAACAGACTGCTGGACTAGGCAAGTCAGGGGTCCCATCCAGCAGGGCACAGCTTAGGTTCTTATGTTCTTATGGTGCTGATCTTAGCAATCTGTCTCAAGCCAAGACTGGAGCCCAGTTTGGTTAAAGAGCCCTTGCAGTTTCATCTGATGTTGATCAATGCCAGGCGAACTTCTGCAGACTTCAGTGCAGCTGAAGCTTATCCTGAGGTGGACTTTCATCCCCACTAGAAACTTGGAGGTTGCTTAGCACCTTCACTTCTGATCCACACAGCAGGTGAGGACAGTGGTTAGTAACAATGGTCAGGTTTCCTTCTAGCGTTTCCACATGAAACATTCAAGACAGCAAGAAGAGGTTTAGAAGGGGTGATTTTAACAATAAGTTTATGCCTCCAAAACCAAGCACCTTGTTTGTTGAAGAAAACAGTTCAGTCCCCCAATAAGCAGACTCTTCAAAGGCCTGAATACTTTAAAAAAATTTTTGTCCAAAGTCAGCTTTGTTTTTGACATTTTTGTTTCGTTGTTCCTCCATTCTACCTGGCCATGTGGGAGAGAGAGGTCCCAAGATTTGGTTGTCTCCAATGGAATGGCTGGAATTTGAGGGGAAATGCTTCACAGAATCATAGAGCTGGAAGGGACCTAAAAGGTCATCAAGTCCAACCCCCTGCACACTGCAGGATTCACTGCACCATCCCTGAGAGGTGATATCCAGCCTCTGTTGGAAAGCCTCCAGTGAAGGAGAAGAAGCCACTCCATGCGGAAACCTATTCTACTAATCAGCAGCTCTTCTGTTGAGAAGTTCTTCCCAATGTCTCATCTGTATCTTCATCCTTAAGGCTTCACCCCATTCATTCAAGTCTTCCCCTCTGGAGCAAGCGAGAATAGGTCTGAACCCCCTTCAGATACTTGAAGACAGCTATTGTGACCCCTCTCAACCTTCTGTTCTGCAAGCTAAACATACCACAAATCTGCAACCACAAATCTTATTTACTTAAAAAGAAATTTGCAAATAGAAGTTTTAAAAGCGTGCTGGTGTCCAGGCGTTGAATCTTTGGGGATATGAGTCACCCAGCAGCTTTTCTGGAGAGCATCCTTCTGAAGTCAGCCCAAACCATGGTCAACTGTTAGGAGAGCATGTTGCTGTTGGCCTGGTGTCTGCAAAGATGCTTTCTCTCTCTTTGAGGCAGGAAGGGAAGGAGATCTTAAAGTTGGAAGGGACAGCTTGGGCCTCTGAGCCCCAGCCTCCTACTCTGTGCCAATTGAAGATGCCAATTCAAGGTTGGCTGGCAAGAAGAGCGGGAAATGGCAGTTCACAATCTCGGTTTAGCTATGACATCTGTTAGCACCCTGGGCCAATCTCGCTGCTTAGATGATCTCACCGAGTTGCTGCAAATATAGGACAAAGCTGTAATAACATTCATTGTCCTACCAGATTCTTTCCTTCTGTATTATTCTGGGTAAAAATACTGAATATGGTTTTTTAAAAAATGGGTATTTTTTTTCCTTTAAGACAATACATTTCTTCATATATGTGTGTGTGTGTGTGTGTGTACAGGCAGGAGGTCCAAAAAACTCAGGATGGTGTCTGCAATTGATGGATGCAAAAAAGGAGCAGAATTATGTGGTCATCGCTGCCATCTTGACTTTTTTGACCACCTGTGTATCCTAGGTATCCCTCTGAATGAGTCATGCTCTCAGTTTCTTTTTTGCTTCCCCTTCTTTTGTTTTGTTTTCTTCCTCATTCTCTTTCTTGCTTCTGTATTTTTTGTTTTTTTCCCTGATATTTGCCTGCTTGATCAAAAAAGGAACAATTTGTAAAAATCTGTAGAAACCCCGCCTGGAGCTCGTTGGGGTAAAAGCTGTGGTCTGTGGCTATGTGCAGTTCCAGGCTGCAAGAGTGTGGCACACTCAGTTGTAAGAAACCCCGCACACTTTTCCTCCTGGAAAGCTGAACAAGATGCAGCTGGAAGAAAGGAGGTTGAGTGTGAGGGGTGTGATTTGAAGTGTGCTTGTGCAAGGGTTGCTGTGGGCCCAAGGCTCCCTTTGGGGTATCTTCGTAACACCAAGCTGGCGTTGCCATCACACTTGAAGTGTGAGGTGAAGGATTCAGGTCCTCTCTCAACAGTTTCTCTCTTGGGCACCTCTTCATTATGAAAAAGCTGATAGGCTCGTCCCCTTGTTCCCAGCAAGAACTTCAACCAAGCGGGAGCTAAAAATTCTAAAGTTTGGAGGTGCAGTTTTAAGCCTTTGCCTTCTCAGCGACTATAAAGCTCATTTCCAAACGATGCAAGGACTGCATTTCAACCGGCTGCCCACAAGATAAAATTCCATGCCATTTTAGGTTGCTCAATGCAGGGGCCAGGTTATTTGGGGAACAACCGCCTATCACCCACGGTTTCTGCCCATCCAGTAAGATCAGGCAGAATGGATACCCTCCTCTCAATTACACAATGCCATCAATCAAGACCCAGGAAGCCGTCTTCTCTGTCTGGAAGAACATCCCGCTAGAGCAGGGTTTCTCAACCTTGGCAACTTGAAGATGTGTGGATTTCAACTCCCAGAATTCCCCAGCCAGCCGTGGGGAGAAGTCAGAAAACGATAAGAGGGAGAGACAAGCTTTCTTGCTTTCTTTTGCTATCCTCAAATAACACCCCAAACTTGAATTCTTTGTGCCGAGGTATAAACTTTAGGCAGCCTTTCCAAATCTGATCCGCTCCAGATGTCCTGGACTACAGTTCTCCTGGTCATCTCCCAACTGGCTGAGGACGACTGGAAGTTATAGTTCCAGCTGTAAGGAGGGGCTGCTAATCTTGGGAGCGTTTGCTCCCCCTTTATCTTCAGCCCTCGTGCTGCAAAAGCTGGCTCAAAGCCGGCTAACTGTCCAGGTGGGAAGAGGCCAGATGGTGGCGGGGCTCTGTTTCTGCGGGACTGGCAATTATTCAATCCAACTGCTATTGTCCCTTGATTTTCCCAAGGCAGGGAATTATTATCAAGGACCATTACCCGGCATCTGTGATCATTGCCCCAGTGAGACCTGAGGGTTGGTGGTGATGCCTCAAGTTCTCTCAAGACCATCTTGACCCTTGGCCAAGAGTTGGTTTTTTCTGTTCCCAGAGAGAAAGGCAGAGGAGGGACATTAGCTAAGAACCTCAAGAACAAGGGAAGGTAACAGGATGAGTGGATTTCACGTACTTGCATGGAGACCAATGCTTTCCTACCTTGGCCTCAAAAATGCAGACCTAGTTCAGCAAGATAACTCATGCTTCACATGCTGAAGGTCAAATCTCTCCACATCAGGCTGGAAAGATACTTGTCTGAAATCCTGTAAGGCTCACAGCTGCATTAGAAGCTGTGGGAGAAGGAGCAGTGGCAGTTCTGCTCAGGATAAGGCAGCCTTTCAGGGATCCGTGTGCAGAACAACTTTGAATCGATCCACCACAGCAAGAGAGTCTCACAGCAACAGCATTCCCCTACTTCCACCCCGTCATAAAGGCATGCACACATAGGCAGGTCAGCCACCATCTAGACCAGGGTTTCTCAACCTTAGCAACCTTAATACCTGTGGACTTGAACTCCCAGAATTCTCCAGCCACCATGGCTGGCTGGTGAATTTTGGGAGTTGAAGTCCACACACCTTAAAGTTGCCAAGGTTGAGAAACACTGATCTAGATCCTCTTCAAAATCACTGCCATGAAAATGCTTGAGATGAAAATGCCCCCTGACCACTTTCTCCTCTCGTTTCAAACTGGTTCAGGTATTAAAATGTTCCCTTTGCCCACTGATCAACCTAGATTTCTCACTCGGGGCACAAATGACCAGGCTCAGATGATCCTCCTTCAGACACACGATGAGAAGACCCAGCTCTCTGGAGAACCTCTGATGCTGGGAAAGGTGGAAGAAAAGAGAAGAGGACGACCAGTAGCAAAGGCGGGGGACTCAGTTACAGCAATGATCGGTCATCGTTGGAAGACCTGAAAGACCAGGTTAGGAGCAGATCATCCTGGAGAAAATTTATGTGGTCACTAAGGGTCAACAACTTGATGGCATATAATCAATCAATCAATCAATCAATCAATCAATCAATCAGCTCTCTGGAATGGGACGAGTGCTGATCTCCCACAGAGGCATACCTGATGTACTTTTGAGCAAATCTGGCCTTCATTCCTGCCTACCCCTCCTACCACACAGGCCTTGCCCCAGTCCGCCCTTTTAGAAGGCTCAAACTCTGGTTAGAAGGCTGCAGTTCCTACAAGTCCCCCATAGAAAGGGATCCCTTGTAGGGTGAAGGCCGGGGCTAAACATCAGCATCTGGCCTAAGGCTACCTAACACATTCATGGCTACGGGAAGCTTTGAACTACAGAATTCTCCAACACATTTCCTCTCTGCAACAGCAACGACTGTTAACTGCTGTTCAGCCCTGTCACGATGGTATACTTTGTTGATGTTCCCTAAAGGAGCTGCTTAATTCAGCCATTCTGGCATAAGTTCCGGCCACCCCTCAAGAATTCCTATCTGCAACGCTTCCACGCCAAAGTCTGTGCTGCCAGCAAGGGAGATACTAAAATGGAATTGCGACGCGTAATCGAAAGACAGAAGCATTTTTTCCCCATCACCAGCTGCCGGATGAGAAACAACAACTTCAGTTGATTTTAGGATTCCAGGAATTTATTCCACGGTAATTTTCCAGTTTATTAGGGATATTCAGGGGAGAGAGAAGAGGACCGACTCCTTCTTTCAAAGCATTTAGTCTCTCAAAGGCGCGTGTGCCCGAAAAACAGGTTGCAATAGCAGAATCTGGATTAAGTTGCCACTTCGGGAGAAGTGAAGAAGTGGAATTGAGAGAGGAAGAGCGCCGCTACTTCACCACAGATTTCACGACTTCCTTTCCTGTTGCAATGGAGAAAGTTCCTGTAAAACCAGTGGCGACAGGGGCCGTGGATGAAAAGCCACACAAGGAAACGTGGCCCTCCAAGACAGAGCAAAGGTTCATTACGCAATGACAGAGCGCCCAGCGGACCAGATGCCACCACTGCTGGAGGCAGAACAAGGAATATGTTCTGCCCAGGCGTGTCCCTCCCATTCTTAGCCCACAAATTCAAAACTAAAACTAAAACAAATAAAACAGCCCCCCCTCCAAAAAACACCCCCCCCAATCATCTAAGAAGATGGAAACCAAGGTGGTTCACATGTTCAAAGTATTCATTTCTCTCCGCTGGAAACGGCTGAGACCTGCCAACCAGCCTGAGTAAAAACCAAGGGTGTCCACAGGGAGAGGGTCAAAAGAGTCGAGATGGCGGCCACAGCCCTGCAAGCGAAGCCCTGCCCTTTTCTATGTGCGTCATGACGCTTGCAGCGCTGTGGCTACCATCTTGACTCTTTTGACCCCCTCCCTCTGGACACCCTTGTTAAAAACCCAGAGGTAAAACAAACCCCATCTGCAAAAATGAAACAATAAAATAAAATAAAATAAAATAAAATAAAATAAAATAAAATAAAATAAAATACAAGTCTCTGTTCTTTTCCCAGGGATTCAGTAGAGGTTGCTGCCAGCATAAGAGTCGTGGCTTTGCACAAGCAGGCAGGATTCGTCTCTAGACGCTGGGCCTGGTCATCCTCCACCACCGGGCCTCTTCAGCACCGCGCTGTACTTCATGGGAACGTTGTCAGACCACAGGACGACGTCCACCAAGGTGAAAATTGCAATGACCTTGAGCAGGAGAGATAAGCCAAGCAAATGTTAGCTGGCTGACTTAACACCGGCTTGGATCTCTGAAACGCAACACCTGTCAGGCCTCAAAATTGTGCACCAAAAGACAGATCTACCCTTGACTGGCTACATACTGAAACAGAGCCTCCCTGCCCTGGGGCAGTCTATCTCTGAACATCAAATGTAAGGGACCGAAAGAGAGTAGGCTTATGAGCATCTCCAAGGCACAGGCCATCTAAATCATGAAATTTCCAGAGGACCCCCCCGGACCTGGGTCCGAGCATTTCTGATGCAGCGTCTCGTGTGTGCACTAACTCCACAGCGGCTCCAGTGGACATGCGGGTCAGCAGGGGATGACCACAGGCCCGCAAGGGAAGAAATGCACCCGCTTGCACCGATGAATGGGGAGAAGATTCCCGAATGGCTGTGTTCTTCTCAGAGCTCCAAGAAGACCCTCACTCGATCGGTAGGTACCCTGACCTTGGAGGATGCCACTGGCCCCTCTAAGCAGCTGCTGCCCCAAACAGGAACAAGTCAAGTCGAGAGTCAGGACCAAAAGGGGTAGGATGATGAGGGGCCAGGACGCTCCTGGTCATCCTTGGAGCTGGTGGTTGCTGAGGGCCAAAGACCTATTGCCTAGAGCAGTGTTTCTCCACCTTGGCGGCTTTAAGATGTGTGGACTTCAACTCCCTTGCTGGCTGGGGAATTCTGGGAGTTGAA